GCCAAACATCTTAATTTTAAAATGGACCTGTAAGCATTAACGTTTGGCCTGTGCCATGTGAAAATTTAAAGTAAACATAAACTTTAACATCGTGATGAAAAAAAAAAAAATAGAAGTGCTGTTGAACCCCTCTACTGCCTCTTCTGGATCAGCAAAATGTCCCTAGAGCAAAAACGGCCATGATTTCGAGGCTCATCTCTTGGGATTTCCTTCTCTTTGGCATCTTGACCTGGTAATTTTTCACTGTTCTCTGAGCTGTTGAGACATCAAGTTTTTTTTATATTTCATCTAGTTTATATAGTTGATTTCAAATTACTTAGTCCACCACTATTGGAAATAAAGTAGAAGTCCCACTACATTGCATTTAGTAGAGATATTAGCATTGATATCTACCATTTACATGAAATGCAATTATATAAAAATGCTTAGAAATAATTGCTTCAGAGACAAGGAATATTTTGAGAACTTGAAAAAAAGTCAAGTCGCAAGAACTCACAATCAAGAATTGATAAGTATGTGAAAATAAAGCATCCCTGAAATTTCCCAAATAAAAATTGCTCTGGTAAAAATTGATTATACAATGTTGGGGCTTCTTAGGGGGCTGTAATTATCATCTTCCCTGCAAAGACTATGAATGAAGACGTTAAAAAGCGTAAAGCAGGAAGGACAAAAAAAATTACCTTTATCGCTGACAAAGGTTAAATGGGAAAATGTCAATTCGTGTGACCTCAGAACCAGACTGCCTTACCCACCAACAGGACTGTGACTGGCTCACACTAAGGACAGGAATATCCATGGGAAATCCAATGAGGCCCCTTGCTGTCTGTGAGCAAGCTTCCCAAAGAAGGAAGGCATAGCTGTGCTATGAACGCTCAGTTATGATTCCCAAGCGTATCAAGCATACCCAGTTATTCTTACCAAATTTCCCAGTCAGAAGAGACACTTCTCCCCTGGGTTTGAATAAAGGGCAGAGAGAAACCTTAAGATCCATTAATGCAACTCCCTTCACAAGAATATATTAGGAGTGAGGGAGAAAGTTCCCCACTACTTGCAGAGCTTCGAAGAATCCCATCATTTAGCAAAGAAGTAAGGAAAGTGAGAATTTATTATGATCATGGATAGAACTCACTTCTGTACATGCTAAACATCATGCCAACAAGTGCTGCCTTTGATCCTAACCCCTCAGCCAGAGCAAACCCGGGTAGGGGCCCCTTGTGGCCATTCCTGGATTCTCTCCTTTTCTTCTCTTGCCCCTAAGGCCATAAAGAATTCAATTCAACTTGAGTTCTCTGAACGCTATGATTCTTTTCTGTTCTTCCCTCAGGATTTTGTCACCCAGAATCTGAATGAAGATTCTGCTTATTTTATGGGGCTGTCAGATCCAGACGGTCAGAGACATTGGCAATGGGTTGATCAGACACCATACAACAAAAGTGCCACGTGAGTAGGGAATT